GGTATGGACCGGGACATACTGGGGGACACTATGGGAGACACTGGGGGCACTGGGACATACTGGAGGTGATACTGGTATGGACCGGGACATACTGGGGGACACTATGGGAGACACTGGGGGAACTGGGACATACTGGCGGACGCTGGGAATGCCATGAATGATACTGGGACGGACTGGGACGTGCTGGGGGACACTGGGAGTGCTGGGGAGAACACTGGGGGAATGGGGAGGGACTGGGGGGGACACTGGGGAGGGCTGGGGGATACTGGGACATGCTAGGAATGACACTGGGATGGAATGGGACATACTGGGGGACCCTGGGGGTCACCTGAGTGGATGGAGGGATGGGGGAAACTGCGTTGGACTGGAGAGACTGGGGACACTAGAGGAGGGACTGGGGGAGACTGGAAGGGACTGAGGGGAACCGGGCTGTACTGGGAGGGCCTGAGTATGAACTGGGCGGTACAGGGGATGAACTGGACTATATTGGGCGGGACTGGGACTGAACTGGGACTGAACTGGGCTATACTAGGAGGGCCTGGGAATGAACTGGTCTGTACTGTGAGGGTCTGCAAAGGTAACCTGAGCTGTTTTCGCCTCTAGCGCCTCCCATTGGTCGCAGTGCCCGCCCGTCAAAGCCCGCAGCCAATCCGCGTCCGAGAAGGAGGAGGTGGGGAGGGGCCTGGAGCCAGAGCCACTTTAGTCCCTTCCGAGACTACAACTCCCGTCATGCACCGTGGCCACATAGAGCGCCATTTATAGCCGGGACTACAACTCCCATCACCCCCCGCGGCCCCACGGAGCCCCATTGTAGTGGGGTTTGCAGCCCCCCAAGTGCCCCCAGACCCTCAAGTGCCCCCAAATTCCCTCCCCTGACCCTCCTCAAGTGCCCCTCTAGACGCCCAAGCGTCCTCCAAGTGCTTCCCTGGACCCCAAACTGTCCCAGAAGTGCCACCCAGCACCCCTAAGTGCCTCCCCAGTGCCCACCTGGACACCCAAATTCCCTCCCCTGACCCCCAAGTGCCCCATAAGTGCCCCATAATGCCTCATCGGATCCCCAAATTCCCTCTCTGCCCCCCAAGTGCCCCCTCGGACCCCCAAGTCCTGGGAGGACGGACCCCATAGAAAAGGGAGGCTCTGGGGGATCACTAAAAGGGGCTTGTGGGGGCTCTGGGGGCCGGGGGGGGGTTGTGTTGGGGGCCTGGAGGGGGCTTTGGGAATTTTAGGTGGAATTCAGCGAGTTTTGATTGAAATCAGGGAGATTTTGGTGAGATTGGGGGGGAGAAATTAAGGGATTTGGGGACTGAATGAATGGATTTTGGGGGATACCTTGGGGATTTGGGGTGGAATTAAGGGCACTTGAGGTGAAATTGGAGATTTGGGGTGAAATTATGGAAATTTTAGGTTGGATTAAGGGAATTTTGACTGGAATTAAGGAGATTTGGGGTGAAATTGGAGATTTTTATGAGATTATGTGGATTTTAGGTGGGATTAAGGGGATTTTGACTGGAATTAAAGGGATTTGGGGTGAAATCAGGAGGATTTTGATGAAATTATGGGGATTTGAGGTGGAGCTAAGGCAACTTTGAGTAGAACCATTGTGATATGAGATGAAAATCAGGAGATTTGAGGTGAAATTAGGGGTATTCAGGTGGAATTAAAGGAATTTTGTGTGAAATTAAGGCAATTTTTGGTGGAATCTGGGGGATTTGGGGTGAAATTATGGGGATTGT